ACAAAAAAACTACGACAAAATGAACTTCATATCAGCAAGAACTGGAGAATGTCATGTTAACGGCGGTAAAGTTTTGATATCTGGTGACGGTGTTAACATGTCCCACAACCTTTCTAGTATCCACAATCACAAACAAGATATATTCAATGCAAGACAGTACAAACAACAAAACTGTATTACGTATGACAACCGTCTTCTGGATTATTCCACCACAAAGTCTGGCAGACGTTTACCGACATCTCAGAGGCAGCAAGCATCTCTGAACCATCTGCATATCTTTGCCAGGGTACACGGTACAACCCGGAAGACAGTCATCTTCGTATTTAACGCCATGAGAACCTCAAATCTTATAAGTCTGTATCAGTCCCACGACAATATTAAAAAATATATTGATAACTACGATGTTTAAGGACCTTGTCGTGGTCGTGGGGGCTCGAGTACCTCAGTGACCCCAAGAGCTACTGGTAGGGCCTCCCTAGGGAGAGGTCAAACTAAGACAGGTACCCTGGTCCTCCAGGTTGGGGGTTGGTCGCAAGGCTAACAACCTTGCACCGTAAAAAGGAAGACGTTTCGAAACCTCGATCAAAGCCTCGGACAGACGGACCTAACAGTGAACCGAATGGAAGAGGATAATTGAGGAGGCCATGGACCGAATACGGACCGGAGAGCCACAGAAGAAGAAATGTTTAACGAGCTACGTGTTACAGTCATACTGGACAATCTTCAAGCTATAAATATATGTTACCTGAAGCATTTGCATAAACAATTACTAACATATTCGTATCTTATTAGATGGTGCACGTTACAGTTACAGGCTAAAACATAGACGAAATTTAAAAATTAATAATCGGATAAAAACAAATATAAAACTGTCATATAAACATTCTGTTGATAATAAAATAACAATACTGTTAAGAATGACAGTCATTATGACCTTAAAATTCTAGTGCGACACGCTTTCGAAGTCGACGTGTTTTGTTTTGTTTTCAGTTCACATATATCACACGTATTTTCCCGCCATCTTGTGTCATAAATGTTTAGTAGTCATTTGTAACTCTCTCCACAACTTAAAACAATTTATTTTAAATATAAACAGAATATCTATTAAGTTTATCAAGCACAGACAATGGCTTACATGCACATTTATGAGAAAGCAAATGTAACATGAGAATAGTACAGCTGCAAATATATTTTTAAGTGTTTCGATTTCTAAATTATCTTGGGCACACTCACCGGAATCGAAGTCTGAGCTTCCGCCAGTCTCCAGACCTCCTGCCTGTCCATGATATTTACCTGTAAAACAAAAGGTCACACAGTCGAGCTGAGTCCTCTCAGAGAATCCATTTTTCCTAATAAAGATATTAGATTCTATACAAAACTTAGTCCTGCAATACTAAAATGATAGCAATAAATTTATATTATTAAGATATGGTCACAAAACGTCCATCGACCCATTCACAACTAAAATTATGCTAGAAGAAATACACAATCAAAAAGATCTCGATAAGTAAATTCATGTGGATTAAGTACACAACCACTTAAGCAGCTCAAATGCAAACATTTCATAACAAAATCCAGCATTTGAACAAAAGCTTTAAAATCTAAACTATCAAAGGAGCAATAAATAGCAATAATTTTCTTCACACGAGTCAAAAAGAACTTCTAAAATGAATAATCTCAGTACTTCCTTTGGCAACACAAGAGGCATTTTAGAACTCCCTTCAGGTGCAATGTTTGCGTCTTCAGTACGCAGAAGGGTGGCACGCACTCATAAGTGATGAGCGATTGACGCATTTCAAGCTTGAAGCGAGATACGAGACCAATGATCAAGTTCTTTGTACTGAGAAAACATTATGCAAATGTCAGAACCAGATGACACAAGATTTAGGGTCACACGCTGCACACAAAATTGTTTGTCCCATGCAGAAGTGCACCAACCGCCAGCGATGCAACTCATGCAGTATGGCCAAATGCATAACATTTTATAATAACTGCAGCCGAAGTGGGTGCCTCGCCAGATATTTTTGCATCCTCGACAGCAGAATTTTAGCTCATCATAATCACTTAAACATTGTATTAAATCTGAAGTTTCCACGGCAGCAAAAATTTGGATTGCTGTCTTCTTGCGTATGTCACCATGTAGACTTGTGAGTAGTTAAAATATGTTAGAAGGACTTCCTGTCTCCATCTTCTACCACAACTGACTACTTTCGTTGTCCTAATATCAAGTAGTTTCCAGGTGCAAATAGAACAATTAAAACACAAACGACAAACTGCAACAAGGCCCTTTGCAGAACCAAAAATACAACTGGCAAAAACCAAGTCCTGGCAAAGTGAAACATTAATCACGGGGATTGCTTGCAAGGTTCTCCACAGAAATTTCATTACATAACACACAAATTATATTCTATTGTGCTAGTGGTAAAAAGTTTTATGAACAAACTCCACGGTCCCTGTCCTGAGCCAAATGACTCCAGTCCACACCGTTTACGCACGGTCCAGTTGATGTCGCAGAATCATACCAACAGTTACAACTTCTGCATTAAAGTGTGATCTGCAGTGCAGGGGTTTGAATGCCCAATTACCACACAAAAAAGACTAAAATGCATTTTAATATTATCCTCCTACCAACGTGTAAGTCTTCCATGATATCTCTTACCTGTAGGCTTTTCAACTAAAATTTTACATGCATTTCGACAAGTTGCTGAGTGTATCAAGGAAATTTAAAATTGGCAGATGTAGTAATACGATTTTCATCAATCGAAATATGCAATGACAAACAAGCGCTGCGACAAAGTTCAAATTCCAATGAAGATTCAGCCTCAAATTATTCTGTTTCTCAATCAACACATCACTTATCAGGAAGTGATACTGATACCAGTTAACAGACAACTGACAAGAGAGATGTCATGTCGTATAACATCAGTTTACTGGCCCGAATCATTCTACTGCGCAATGAAAACTATTCCTACTTTCATTTTGCCATGTCAAATGCAGTAGAATGTGCCCGTCACAGTGGTCATGCAGTCTGAGGCGCTTGGACACTGCGACCATGGGTTCAAATCCCACTCGTGGCATGAATGTTTGTCTGCGTCTTTCTGTGTATAGGTAGGGGTCTTGCGACGGGCTGATTGCTCACCCAAGGAGTCCTTCCAAATGTCTAAATAGATTAAGTAACCTCTAAAAGAGGCGACCAAGATCCACACTGGGTTGTAGAGCGACAGACGATGATGATGATGATAAATGCAGAAGAGTGTAGTACAATTAAGTATGTTCTGCAATGTGTAACATATTAAAACATAATTTAAACTAAGTGGTCCTATAACATGAGGGTTCAGAGAATTCACATAGAGTAATAAGCAAAGATACATTCAAATGACATCCACAAAGGAAGTTTAAGACCAACTGCCATTATCAATAACATATTCAATATGAAGACAACTATCAAACCAGATGTTGCTACTAATGAACTGTACACATTCATCTTAACATTTCAGGAAGATTACAAAAAGTTACAGGGCACCACTGTCCAACCGAACACCTATTCAACAAGATTGGTCCCTTCGTATACCTTCATTTTAAAGACAATAAAACTGCTCCTCACGGAATGCACGAGACATAGTACGCAGGTTCTGGAAAATGAGAAACATTTGTCAAATTCCTCAACAAAATTTACCCAAAATGTACCATCCAACACAGAATTTAACTGTGTATGTTATTACACAAAAAATATTATTTTTCATCAATATGTCCCCACTACAGATATTGGATGTATATCAAGTAACAAATGTATATGTAGTAAACAACATTTAATACTACTACAATTGCCACCTCTACCCAAAGATAGCGCCACAACTATTTAGAATCTACAAAGGTACACAATGTAGAACATACACTGCTCATTTATAGGCTGGTTTCTTAAGGGAAATGCATGTTGTGTATCACCCAGGAACTTTTGAACAAGTCACCCATTTTTATAAAAACTGGTAGCAAGGCAACGCCACTGGTCATCACCCTGGCACATATTACTTTTTCCCTACCTTCAATGATTCCAACATGGTGAATGTGCAAACTTTTGAGATGCAAGCAAGACAAGTCCCATTCAATGTAAGATTCTAAAAATTTGAATGACAATAGATTTCTTAAAAATGTGTGGCTGATGTCGAGGCTGTTTCAGTATACAATTTAAAGTAACGTCAGGATCAAAATACTTACTGATGACCCATCGTACATTAGTTACTGAATTTTTGAAAGTGGGAGAAAACTGTACCTACAAATGTAATGTGGATTTTATGTGTATGCACATGCATGTTCAAAATCAACATATTAAAAGCACTAACTTTGGGAAACAGCATTTACAAAATAAAAGGAAAGTAGCTTATATTAAATTACGTTTCAACCAATTCACTTGTTCTGCAGTGTCCACCACATGTCCTAACAATGTTTCAAAAAAAAAAATTATTTCTACGACTAGGGACAGAACACAATGAACCTAATGATGATTCTACAGCTCCTGATCTACATCATGTAGCTGAAGAGAATATATATAGCAGATATGTATCAGCCATTACTGCATCATCGCTCAATAAGACTACACGGTGCAACAACCCCATAGAGACAGTTCCAGTACTACCTGAGCTAATGAAATGAGTATTGTATGCAGTAAAGTAGCAGTAGTTGTTTTTATACACATTCATTGAAACAAAAAAAGTTATCAATTATGTATATTCAAATGGAAACAACTTCATCAGGTACTCAATTAACCTATTAATAAGAAGAAGCAAAGACATTAGATGCAATGCAGTGAATGTTACTTTGGCCTTTCATCAAGGAAGATATGTACTGATGTAAAACTGTGGTCACGAAGATGAGTGTTGTTACTATGAAGGAATGACCATTTCTGTAACAAACTGTTCAGGTCAGGAGGACTGATGAAACAGTCACAAATTAAAGGAGCTAGCAGGAAGAAGAAGTAGATTTTGAATCTAAATTTAATACCGCAATCTTAATTACATATTATTCCAAGCGGATGGCCGGATTATGGGTATGTGGACATTGTAAAGTGGTTAGTAATTTACCCCTACTTCTTGTTGCCTCACATGGGCAGGGAAAATACATATAGCTGTAACAGAAAACTACAACATCCCAACAAAGCAGTACATACAAAACATTCCATCAATATTTGCACACAGAATTTCTGTATTAAAGTAATTGCAAAACTGGCTGATCATCTTCGGGCATATCTCGCAGCTAGCAAATGAATAGGTAGTACAAAGTCATCAGCTATGTATTCTTATGCTGTTTGCAAACGTTTGCATGGCATTCACACTAAGCTCACAAACACCCATTCGACTGTTGTGATTAATAAGGCCATGAACACACAGATCATTCTGTGTTTTTAAAAAGAACACTGCGTTTCGGAAGCTGGGTTCAATCACTGGTTCTATCAGACCCAACTGAGCAGGTTCACCTACTTCTCTTTTTAACCTGAGGACAGAAGCAGATCCAGATGTATTGTTCGTTTTAAAAACACAGACAATGGACATTTGGGTCCCTTAGATAGAGCTAGTCTCTGTCACTGGACAATATAAATCATGCAATTATTTCAACTTATCCACCCAAGTACAGGTTCTGTCAGTAGATTTTAATACTTAAATGATAAAATAGAAATTATAAGACTACTCACACAGCTCTGCAAGCAACCAGTTATGAAACCGCGGTTTCATAACTTTATACTAAAACAATAACCTTCATGACTATGACTGTGTCTGTTAACCCTCACCATATATAATTGCCATCAATTAAAAAAAACTTATAAATTGATTTATGGTTTTCAAATATACAATTCATGTAAAACATCATGTTAATGGCATGAGATTTTAAATACATTCCTACGCTGCAATATTAAATTCTATCCTCACTTCCAATGCAATGGGTAAGTATCTCAACTACTTAATGTAGTAGTACCAAAAAGAGGCTTCATTCCATATTCTGCATATTTTACAGTTAATGATTCTATAAATAAAAAACAAGTATGTGACTTCACAATATGAAAGAATTCTGGGCGTTTCGACTTTAGGAACACTTGTGGCACACTCAATAAGCTGCAATATATGTGCAATACCACATTCTACAGTACCTTGTGGACTGCATTGTAATATAAGACTCAGCCGACAACAAATGTTTACAACCAAAATATGATGATAATTGAGTTCAATACTTCTATACCGTGCTGTCTTATCTACAAAACATCCTGCATACTAACTGAAAAACAACAGTTCCCATCGTAAAGTTTCTACTTCCTCCTGTCTGAATGTTTTGACAAAAATATTGTACCTGCGTTTCATGACTAATGAACGTGACACCAGTCAAACATTCGGCGCCAATAAATTCCTTCAGAACTACCCCCTTCGTAGCTGCTCTAAATAATTGTTCGTGGCTTATATTACTAAGGTTTCTAAGGAAATTCTGCAAATAAAATGCGTTTGTAGCCACGCCATCTTGATTCGTCAGACTTGCACGAAGGCAGTCTAGTACATAATAACAGAAGAAATACGGCCTTCTGAAAGCTCAAATTCAATAATTGCATTTAAAAAAATATCAGCGGTTTTTAGAAAGAGTAAACAAGACGGATGTCAGCTCTTACTTTGCCCCTGAGGCTGCTCATCTCCGCTCTCTCGGTCCGACATATCCTTCTCCTGGAAAGCGATTTAACCCTCGTTTTCACTGCAAGGAATTTATTCATGCACCGGAACTACCTCCGCTATTACTTAATATTTGAAAATAGATCTCTCTACTGTCACTATAACAAATAAATAAACAATTACTAATATATTATACACTTAAATTTGTCTCAGTATTACTAAAACATCGATAAAGTACACATTTCCAACAGTACAATTCCGAAACCAACCAAACACCAAACAGGCGCTCCCGGAAGTGACGTTCCAACTTTGGTCTGCTGCAGAACAGCTGTCGTGATTTGATCATGCAGCCAGGTAATTGGCAACGAATAGTAATGTGGACGTAGGGATATTAAGTCAACTGTGGGTATATTGTTCTACCACGGCAGTGGTTCTTGTTCTTTTTGGTGTCCAAACCAGTTATGCACGATAGGCACCTCTTTTGGTTATCACATTCAACCAACTCCACAGAGGGACAAATTTTTTGAGAAGATAATAAAAGTTAGTCTCCTCAAAAATTTGACCACCTCTTACAATATCCTGTTTTATTTCTGGTTTCACTAGAGCCAGCTACATGTCACTATAAGGGGACAGATAAATCCAGTTGTGTTCATATTTTAACATAATAATCAGTAAATAAATACTTACATTCGTCTGAAAAACAATCTTAATGAAATTACTAATATCAACAAAACATATTAAACATAGGTTATGATAATAAAAGAGCTGAAAAAGTATGCGCTATGAATTTCCTTGCCTTAAAAACAAAACATGTTGAATATGTTATTCCTAAATATGTTTTGCAGGGACATCACTCATGAAAATAAATTCTTTAATACTAGTTTGGCATGTACTTTTCTTTATTGTTCTGCACTTAAAATAATACCACCACAATAGATTCACTTTGTCACGGAGAGGGAAAAGTAACACGTAAATAATTCAGCAACACAACTTTAGATTACTTACTTAGGCAAAAGGATTTATTAGATCATTTATTCAGTTTCATTTGTAACAGCATGAACAGTAAGATATACCATACTTGCTTTACAGCGTTCCACAATATCATTCATCTAACAATGTCATAAATATTATCAGAGCAATTACAGTGTTGGCTTATGTAAGTAACACCAACAGTATAATGCTACTAAATATGTATGCCAGGGACTAAATTACAATCAGGGTATTACACAAAAGTATGTGCCAGTATCCAGTTCCAATGTTACAGGATGAAAGGACCATGTTACTCACTGAGTGGCAACAAATTTATATTGACTACATTTCATTGGATGGGACTGTGATAGCCAGGAGATGACTAGTGTATGTTCTGAGCTTTACATCCACAGAATTCACAGCACCTGAGCAGCTGAACTCTGGCTATAGTAGATGACAGCACCAGTAAAGTTTACACCAGCTGCCAGCACAAAAACAGGAAACCAGCGACCATGAGATGTAGTTACCAGCTCTGCTGTAAGAGGGCCACACAGTATACCTGGGATTGTTGCCTGCAAAATTCAATGAATTAATTTATACATTTAACTTCCATTGTCTAAATGACTGCTGTTTAATACAATACTGTCTCTTTCCTATTATGCAAGCAAGAAAAGACTCAACTGGGTTTAATCTATCTCTAAAAATAAAATGATATACAAGAACAATGTCAATCAACTCTGGAAATTATCATGCAACAGTCATTTCCTGTAATACAAACAGAACGCAAGAAAGGTGGTGGTGTTGATGATTACTCACCAGTGTGTTTGATATGGCAAATGTGATGCCTGCATGGTTGGGAGCAATGTCTGCATGATTACTTAGGTGGCCAGCAGAGTTGCAAGCACAAAGGCCCATTGAGATGGACACAAATCTGCAACAAAATCAAAGCTTTCCACTCATCCAAAAAAATTACCAATCAAATTAAATATAACTTTTTACTTAAAGCTAAAATAAGTCACTGGAGATTAAGGCATCCTGATATGGTGGACAGCTGTCAAGGGGTGGTAACGAGCTCAGGGGTTGGGCAGGGGATTGTACTTCAAAGCAACCACAATCATGTTTAATTTATCTTAAAGATATTATACCTAGATGGCTGTCTGCTGGGGTGTAGCCATTTTTGTACTTACTGCTGCGAGAACCTCAAATCATATGCGTTTACACCTATTCTAACAGATTCATGAGATGTTAATTGCATGTCCAAGGCAAGTCGGATAGCTGGTGAAGCGAAACCATCAGTAACAAAATATCAAACAGCATTTGGAGGGAAGTTTGCTCAAATATGAAATAACCAGTAACAAAATTAATAATGGAAAGCATGCAGAAGTTTCTGTATCATGACAAATACACTTGTAACTAAAACAGCAATAAAATTAAATATTTTCATTACGGTCTGCAAATTAAATGACTGATGGGAGGAAAACTTACACAACAGCAGCTAGGAGGTTATCAACAGTACAGAATGCAAGCAGGAACACTCCTGGACCCAACAGACCGATGCTCGTCATCAGTCGACGCACTGACAAAACAGTCCACCCCCTTTGCCCCACAAGAGTGTCTGCAAAATGGCCTGCAACTGCACACAACATACGAGCATTGAAATACTACCCTGATCATAAATATAATAGTATGATAAACCTGTAATAAAACTTTATGAAGAAATACTAGTACATGAAGCTGAATGAAATCATTATGCTGTAAAATTATGAAGCTTTGTGTTCTCTATTACATAGTAGCACAATGAATTTAAATTCTGATTTAACAGTTTTAAACAGATTAATATATATCCATAACCACACGAAAAACAGATGAAAAGAATTAAGAACTATCCTACAGGTTCCCCTATGTGTTACTGTGAGTTTTACAAACATTTTTAAACAGAAATCAATCATAATGATAATACCATTATGTAATTTTTTGTAGAGAGCCTAATAACTGATAATTCAGTGCAGATAATCAGCATCACAAAGAATGATACGGGCTTCTTAAATGGAAAACAAACAAAAAAATGTACAAGCAAAAGGAGATCCTATCTATTACCTATGCTGCTTATTTCACACTCTTAAATAGAGAGTTTTAATAACTTGTGGTGGAAAAACTAGTAATTGTAAAATCACAAGCATCATGAAGGACATGTCTGTTTGCGGTACTAACCATATTATTGCCTGAAGGAAAGTAAGAAGTAACAAAAAACAAAAATTTCAATCAGGATGTTCAGCCTGATTCACTCCAGACTTCACATATAGAGCCACTGTGTTATGATCTGATATTACACTTACACACCACACAATGCATTAAATGAAGTCATATTATTTACAGAAACTTATTTTCCTCAAAAATAGATGCGCTTTGCCACAGCTTTAGACATGCTACAAGTGAAACTGTAACAGAATTTCATTAGCCTGTACTAAAATACCTGCATCATAATTCATTATATAGACAGTGTCCCACTTTCCCATTTAACTCTGTAACCAAACATAATTCTCTCATTTTAACACATTCTTTCGATGCTGATCCTGTCTTGCGTGGTATATATGACCTTAAAATTATTCATTGTCAGAACTTTTTCCATCATGTGTTCTTTAAGTGTGAACTACTGTCGTCAAAACCCTTTAGAATTGTATATATGACCTCCCCATTAAGATGGGGAAGATGTACACACATCCAAAGACAGGATTAACAACAGTTAAATCACTAAGAAAGCTTAATATCAACCATTTTTGTCTTTCTTGGGTAATCATTTTCATCATAAATCAAGTTCCACATAACTTGCAACAGTTCATACGATATAATAAGAGAAGTATAAAATCCAAATTGGAGGGTGAAATAGGAGAAAAACCTCAATCAAAAACAACAGCTAAATATGGCATTATACAATCTGAAATGTATGGCAACAGTTCATTCTATGTGATGGGTGAATGCTCTAGCCCCATCTCACGCACAAATGACACAAGAAATCTACATGTAATGCATTTTAATGCAACTTTCTATTCACTGAAAACATGCAAAGTAAATAAGTGAAAACTCAGTAACATCAAATTTTAAAATAACATTAATTCAATTTCTGAATCAGTTTTGTTTTAAGAAGCAACATACTTTTCCATTAAAATTACTCTGCATTTAATTCAGTTCATCTTCAACAAATGCCAAATATAGGCTGAGTTAAAATTAAATCACAAGGCTAATTCTTCAGATATATATTTCATACTGATCTCATTATCTTTCTTGCTGAATTAAAACTAAACTTAGACCAAAAGTTAACTTTCTCACTAACCTTCACTGCATGGACATATTTCAGTAAATGTTTCTTTGATTATGTAAAACATCAAGAATATGATTTTTTCTCCATTCTTACTAGATATTTTGAATTACTTTTTTAAGTAAAGATGGCTGCCTTCTGGGTTGTAGCACCATGTCTTCTGACAGAATTTTACCAACATTTCACAAGTCCTTACTGCCCCCATCTTCAGGGTGATGCGTAAACTTCTGCCAAATTACACAGCACTACAACCCAGAAGACAGTCATCTTCATACTCACTGCTGAGAGGACCTCAAACCTTACTTTTAAGTACTGATGATTAAATTTTATTGAACGAGATAGCTTAAATGAACTCACGGAACTGACATAGCAATTTATAACACACAGTAACAATGGAAACAGAAGGTTATATTATATTAAATAATAATGTTAATCTATTTTATAAAAGAAATTTAATCCACACAGGGAAGGTTAATGGTTTTCTTTTTCTTTTCTGCAGATAGCTGGGCACTCACAGATTCCAAACAAAGAGTTGACAACGTAAGGGACAGCAGTAAGACTAATGCTCTCCTTGTTTGCTCCAAGGTTCCGGGCAAGGTACGTAGGGAGCCACTGCATGATGATGTAGTTGGACCAGTTCATGGCAAAGTGTGCTATATACAGAGCCCACAGAGGCCAATGGCACACAAATTCAGTCCATCGTACATTTGGATTTGTTACCTAAAGGGCATACAGTATAAGACAGCATTCCATCAGTAGTCTCTGATGTCTTGTAACAGAAATTCCTTTTGTTTCTTTAATGCATATCCATCTACCATTTGTGCGTGTGAAATTAACATATTTGAACACAATTTGCAAATACACAAATAAAAAGTTGTTACTTAATTACAATAAAAATCATAATTGAGAAACCACACCAAAAAACAATCCTTTTGCAATTTAAATGTGTCAATGATGTTATGAAAGAAATTTATGTTCAGTATTCTGTCTTTAGTTCAAGGGAATGTAATTCATTTAACGGCAAAAGAAATTAAGTATCAATGCCTTCACCTTCAGTCGCAGAAAACTTCAACAAAACTTGTGGGAAATAGTGATATCTCTTGTCACTGAAGATTAAAACACCAGAAAAATTATTAAATGATTATAAGATACAGTAAAATCAGAAGGACTTGAAATTGGACACAGAAAATTTTCTTTCATTTTGCAGACTTACAAACATTCTGAATGCCTTGATAATTCACACAGTTTGTGGAAAAAGTTCAGGAAAATTTTAATAAGGAGCTTCATCTTTCTAGTTTACAAATAACATAACAACACAAAAAAGGACCTGGTACTGTCACCAACCTGATGAGCAAACAAACCAAATATGATGTTATTTTGGGTATGTTCTTTAAAAGCTGTAATAGAAGACTAACATTACTGAAAGTCCAGCTGCTCATTGCATATAATACATTTTTTCTTTTAGTTAGACATATGCAAAAACAAATTCAAGAGTGTGTTTGTACAGCCAGAAGTAAATATGTGTGACACACTGCAACAAGTACCATTCTGTATGATCTACTGGATATACAACTACTCCTGAAGATGTCAATGACGGTTCAATGCCTAATCCCGCACATTTCTTTCATTCTGGATCACAGATGCAAGCATATTTGATATGGTGTGACATAATAAAAAAGATTTTGGAATTATAATGGTACATCATGTAGAATAAACAACACACATCATATATAAAAACTGTGACAAGCGCACTGGAAGATATGTGTCTCTTTCTAATGTAAGTTTCTCGCACTGGTTCAGAGATGCGAGCATAGTGATCTTGTATTCAGTGTTCTGTAACAAAGCCATTGTGTGGTGTGTGACAATGATTTGGAAGTATCATGTAAAATTGTGTACTACAAGACACGCATAAACTGTAATGAGTACAGTACACTAAAATATATGGAACTGTAGCTACATGAACTATGAAATATTTCTTCAACAATATGACAGTATAAGGAAAAATATGAATAAAACACAAATTTTTTAGGTACTTTTTTGCAAAAGAAAACTGTAATTTCCCAGGCACATTTCTTCCACACAGTTTTAGTTTCGTGCCACTAAAATTTAACAGTGAAGATTATGATATGCACTTGAGAGTTTAAAGGGCCAAAATAATCCTGTTGATTTTGCCATGAGCAGTCATGTTAACTGTACTTATATGGTAAAGTCAAGCATCTTTATCAAAGATGGCATTTGTCTCAACCACATTACACAAGTCAACAATCACTTCTTCCATTTTGTGTGGGTTATCTGAGAATGAGGCCTCTCCATCTAGCTCTGTGTTTTTCTGTATCTCCTCTTCCTTAGTTAGTTCCCACAATTTACCTTCATTTTATGTGGCATTTGTGCCTATAGTTAACATCTTGATCTTGGTCTCCCTCTTGGATGTTTTACTTTTGCTTTCATGTTCAAAACCTTCTTCATACCTCTCTCCTCATTCATTCTTAAAATGTATCAGTACAGGCTCATTATAACCACGGTGGTCTAGCGGTTAGAACGCTGGCCTTGTAATCCTGGGGTCTCGGGTTCGATTCCCGGCGGTGCCCGAATTTATAACTTGTGTTGGGCAAGGCCGTGGTCTAGGCAACACAGAGTTTTCCTCCGGGGGCTTCCCCGGTTTCTCCGTGGCATCCCAACAATTACTCCATTCACACACAGAAGAAGGCAATGGCAAACCACTTCTGGATCATCTGCCAAGAACGTATATGAACAGGTCCCAGTCCGAGAAAAGGATGGAAGGATCCTGTTCATATGGACCTGTCCTCAGACAGAACACTACAAATAATAAACAGGCTCATTCTGTTGTTTCTCGATTTGCTTTCCAGGATGTTTAAAACTTTAGATTCTCTATAATTCTGTCACTTCTTACTCCATCTCTTTTGGTTTCGTTCATACTTCTTAAAAATCTCATCTCTGCTGCCATTAACATACTAATATCTGCAATGGTTGACATCCAAGTTTCTCCTCCATACGCTACTATACGCACGTAGTGAACTTTTAAAATAGGCACTATGCATTTCTCATTTCTAGATTGGCTGGGAAGATTTTCCTGTATCTTTTATTCTTTCTGTAATTTCTTCTTGAACACTTCCATCTGTCACAAGTTTCCTTCCCAAATACTTAAAATTCTCCACTGCTTTATTATACTTTATTGCATGGGGAGATGAAAAATGCATACAAAATCTTGTGAGATTTCAGGCAGTAATTATGAAGATGGCTGATTATTACATTTTATCTTTTTCAATCCCATCTTCCACCTTATTATCAGAACCACACATTTATAAATAATCTTTGCACACCGTAACAAACCTTTGAATCTTGATAAGATGCTTTCATTTACTTCCCATATAACTATGTCATATGTATGTAACAATTTTTGTATGTCACTCTTATACTTTGGTTACTCTTCATATTATGTCGTCACTCATTATCTTGATAACACCCCCCTGTTGAAACCCATGAAACTCCTGGAAACTTTCAGAGTTTTTGCCATCTGTGACCACTGTTTCCACATTTGCCAACAATGTTCTTTTCCCATTAGTCCTCTAGATTCATTTGCCCTGTGTAGCACTTTCCAAACTTCCCGTCAGTTTAGAGCAGGGGTTCTCAACCTTTTTCTCTGGCATACCACCAATTCTAATTTAACACATTAAATGTACCACAAACCAAATTCGTTTAGGGAAAACTGTTGTTTATGTTGATATTAACTTACTTAGTTCACACATCACTCAACATTGGCTCGTGTACCACCAGTGGTATGCGTACCATAGGTTAAGAAATATTGGTTTAGAGTATTATCCTATAATGAATTTGTATGGTAAGAAAGGTGTGCATGTCAAATTTGTGTTATTAACAGAAAATTAGTACTGCAAAGTTACTTAAAATTTGTGGTGGTGAATCTTGTTAATATCTTCTAATAAACTGGACATACATGTTTGAACTTGCTTAGTAGGGCTAATTTACTGACCTGAGGAATTTTATATAATTGAAAACTTAGGAATATTGGCATTCAGCAGACTTGACAAATCTGGAAAAACACTGTACTTTACATAACTGGATGTAAATTTTATAGTCATTCACGTGGTCATAAATTAACAATGGACAAACTACTGTACTTACCTTGAAATTAAGACAAGTATTGTCTTCATGAAGTGTAATTATTCTGCTTTACTGATTGAAAATTATATATTTCCAGAACATTATATTTAAAGCAAGTCACTGAATTAATTTATTTTTCCAGCATATACAATTCATGAAACATGTATAGACATGAAAGAAAGTGTCACTCACCTTGGGTACAAACAGAGGAATCTCATCCTGTGCTGAGGTTGCTCCATCGTTATAGAATACCATCCATATAAATACCCAAACAATACCCAATGTCCCAAACAGGTAGAAACCTATCTGCCAAGAGAGGTTTGGGCACAGCTAAAAAAAAATTCAAAAACAGGTAATAATAGCAGTACTACTCATGTATGGATTATTATTTCCTAACTCAGTGTTATTATTCAACATGATCCACATATTTTGATTAAATACAACACAAAATTAACATTCACTTCTACAGAGTACCGTTTCTCAATACATGCAACATAATGTTACAACTATTCGTTATTGAAGCTTTGGGGTGCATGATATGACGCACATGTAAGTGAGCTTCCACACTCCGATCCTCTCCACCTGCAGCCTCTGGCCATATGCTCCCTTACAGTGCCTAATAGTGCATGTGCATTACAACTAGAAACTTCCAGTAACACCTGACCACTGACGGACATTCTAGGGCTACTGAAATATTTCTCAAGGCTTGTAGACTGACCTGTGTGCTTACAAAAATATGAGTTGCTGGGACCAGCGAGTGCAGTTAGACAGATCTTTTAGCTGTGGAATGAGCAAGAGTTAATTGAACAAGGACAGCGTCTTTGTATGAGAAATAGTGGATACAGAGCCGCGGTGCTACACATGAGTGATGGCATTAAAAACAAGTGTAATTTAGAGGCTAACAAACTGAAAGAGTAACTAATAATTAATTAAGCAATCATTTCAAATGTTTTTGTGTTATTACTTCAGCTGTTTCAAGTACATTAAAGAATAAATCAGTATCAATTATAATGGCATGTGAAATAAATCCATGTTTAGTTGTGAAGAGGCTGGAAGAGGAAAAATATAACAAAATCATAGTGAAGGGGCAGTACTATATTATTTTTAGCTAGTAACAATATGTAGATTGTTTATAAAATTTTCTACTACCTACCTAATAAGGGTAGTCTGTACTCTTTATCAAATTTGCCAATGTATTCAACTTGGAAGCATTTAAAATGTACAAAGTTCTCAAATAAATTAGAAACAAATATAAATAAGTATGAATATTAAATTAACTATTTTCTAAATGTTACTTTCCACAAGCAGAAGGCAATTAAACTATCACTACTTTTATAATCCTACAATAAGACTCTAGAGACAGACAATAAGCCACGAAATGTCAAATGTATGAAAGAAAGATGAAGACTGACACATACACACATATGCACACACACACACCAGAAAACACAATAATATGTGAAAGATATATTACAAGTTAAAGCATATTTAAAGTAAATCTGTGTTTGTAAAAGGAGCTTCTGCTACTTTAAAAATATTTTCAATTAAAGTTTATGTATCTGTGAACTACTCACCACAGATGCAACAGTCTGTCCCACAGAACCTGCAGCAACCAAATACCCAAATGCTCTGGATCTCTCTTCCATTGGTACATCATGGGCAAATATATGGAAAATTGTTGGCAGACCTATCATGAAAGAAGGATTATGCTATCCCACAGTAGAAGTTAGTGTGTTACCAAAAGTATACAATACATTTTAATAACAGGGTTGTCATCTTACCAAGTCCCTCGCCCAAACCCAACAGCACTCGGCAAAATATCAGTGCATAAACAGATGTTGCTAGAAGAGGGGTGATAGAAGTTGAAACAGACCACAGGAACACAGCAAATAAGAGGACTGCTTTTCCTCCAAATCTGCTAGCAGCACACGCTCCTATCACCTGCAATGCATAGAAACTACAGGTCACAGATTCATACATACATTATTAGTTTCATCAGGTCATTCAGTTACCAGACTTGACATACGGTATCAAACAAAATATAAATCTTACAAAAAATGAAAATATCTAGTTAGGTATACATCTGAAACTAACCAGGACACTTATATTTGTAGGCAAATTTCACAGTCATAGTCATGCTAACAATATGGGAATTCTCTCATGTACTACATATACAGACAGAACTATATCAAGCCTGGTCCACCACAGAAAATGAAGTCACATCAACCACATTCCAATAATATCATATACAGAAATCCATAAAATGATCAGAGAGACCAACTTTAAGCAAGAAGAATTTAAAGCAGAAAACACTGCTAAAAACAGAATTAATGGGTGAAAGTGCTAGAATAGAAGAGACTACAATTTATTTACATTCCACAGATCCTTCATAGACACAAGCAAAAGATGTAGAACATGATATAGCACAAATATAATACTTATTTCTAATACAATTATTGTGAATATCTGAGTGTGTTTAAAAATTTTATATGTTGTCCACTACAAATAATAATAATAATAATACGTTCAAGAATTTGCTGGCTGGTGGAAGAATATTAAATTTCTTAAACAATTTCCTATATGGAATTCTTCTTTTAGTGCCTGTCATTATTCTAACAATTTTCTTTTGAACGTGAAGTACTTTTTTTCTGTCTGTTGAGTTTCCCCAGAAAGCAATTCTACAACTTTCATGTACCGATTTCTAAACTCAGTAAATATCAAAAAGGACTTTACTATACTGGAATGAAGTTATTCAATAATCTTCCACCTACTACAAAAAGTTTAAACCATGATATAAAAATGTTTACGCCAGCATTAAAAGAGTATCTCCTATCTCACTCCTAATCAGTAGAAGAATTTATAAATACATGTAATTAATAATGGTGATGGTTCTCATCATACTTATTTTACTGTAATGCTGTAGTTCCAAAAATCTGTCAATAGCTATTATAACTATGTATTTATATTTGTACTAGAAATAAGTATTGTATTGTGCTATGACCTGGCTTAGGCCTATGAAGGATCAATGGAATGTAAATAAATTCTATTCTATAACATGACATGATCGAATGGAGGTAGGTAAGCAAGATAAACTAATTTTACTATTCTTGTTTTCATGAGTGATATGACAGTCCTCATAGCACAGCATACTGAGCTCAGTTTAGGATTAATGTAACAAATATATACAATAAATATGATATACTTTTACAACACTACTATAATTTCTTTACAGTCTTACCTGACTTGTGAAGTAACCAAATGCAAAGGCTGACAGGATCCATCCTTGCCCATGTAAGCTCCATTTGAACTCATCTGTCATAGGCACAATTGCTATTGGCATTATGACACGATCTGCTGCATTGATAAAGTTTGCTATCGAACAAAGGGCTACTATACGAGAACTTTTAGCCAGCATCTTCTGATGTGGCATGCTTTACAGTATTTTCAATGATACAATTGCCTTCACATCACAATGTTGTTGCCAGATATTAACCTCTACACATAATTCACTGGCCATGGTGCAATCAAATTTACAAATAAGGAAACATTTGGCTTGTTATATACAAATCCGTAGTTAAAATAAAATTTCATCTTACAATACGTATTAAATTAATTACATAAAATCTTTTACTTCTCGAGCTCTTAATAAGTCAAGTGTTCATGCCCATGAATATCCCCACTTCACACAATTATAATCCACAAGGTTTGTGAAAAAGTTCGCTGTGATTATATTTAGGATTTTCTGGTTTGTCTGTGTTATACATTCTATTATGCCTCTTACAATATCACAACTCGTACGTCAATCAAGATTTCAAACAATGGGACTACCACCAGTTCATAACATTAACTACGTGGCAACTCAATACAAGCATTTTGCTGTTATTGCTCTCCTAAACGTACTCCAAATAAATATACGTAACATCACAAACATACTGAAGTTTATTCAGACCACAGAGTAGTTACGAATAAAACAACAGGCATAACTTTGTGCGAATAAAACCATGTTCGCAACCACCGTTCATAGAACACAGCTGACCTATATGGACGGATTACCAACTTACAAGACGCTATCTACGGTTAAAACCAAAATCGTCTTGGGTTGTCACGTGGTAAGGCAACTTTGTAATGGGTTTCTCCCGAGGGTCCCCTCCAAGGCCTTTCTTCTTGTTTCATTTTTAAAACAAGTGTAGGCCTATTTCTCAATGCCATCCCAAAACGGTTGTTTTTATCTTACTGTGCACACTGGTCTTAAGTGTCACCTGAAAACAAAAGCTGATTTCATGAGATTATATGCCACTGTGACCGTATTAAATGAAAGTGGAATGTAACTTGAAATATCTCCAAAATGTGGTCAAATTACTACAGTATATTAATTCATTTTCTCAACCTTTAACCTTAATGAAAAGTGGGGCCGAGTATAGTCACATTAAAAAGTATTGTGGCAAATTGATAATCCAAGACCTGAGGTTCTCATGGTGGTAAATGTATCAGTTTCCGTCTAATGGGTTGTGACACCACAAGGGCATACAGGTGGTTACCAACATTTCGGATGAAAATATTGCCCTCACCTCCAGAATTAATTACATTTCTATAAAACATTGGTAGCCACTTTTAAGGCCACATGGTGACACAAACCAGAACACAAATGATATGACATTCTCAATTTTCTCTGGGTTTTTATTCATCTCATTCTTTCCTTTCTTCATATATAAGTGTCTATTGTGCTTCCAAACCAAAATTTTGCATGCACTTCCCACATCACCCTCTTTGATATGATCATCCTAACAACATTTAATTGTACATATATCTCCACTGAATAAAATCCCAACTGGCAGTGAACAAGGTCTTATAAGTACTTCTGAACAAGAAATAGTACTTTTCTTTTTACAAAAATTAAAGTAATTGTATTAGCAACTGCCAAACACTAAAATAACCTAAACAAGCCACTTAAAGTGAACTAGAAAAGGACATACTGAAATATTAAATGTGTTCATTACGTGGGATGTCAGATAAACATATACATCCTAAGTTCCTTTTGTGAGATTATTAAAAACTCATGTGTTTCACGTGTTCAGTATAGCTGAGAATTCACTCTCTCATACTAATATATTCAAATGATAAAACTTACAGAAAATATAATGAAATAGGTAACAGAGACATAATAAGATACAACATGTGACAAATCTGTCACCAAACAGTTCTGTCAAAAGAAATCAGACAAGACTACAAAATCTAGTTTTCATTCTTATTTGTACTTATTCATCAATGTCTGTAAATTATATCTACTTTACAATAATATGAACTCTTTACTATGGTACATTTGTTATAAAAATCATTACATACTTCAATCTTTCTTGAAAGCAGATTAAGACATAATAGTATGGTTCTTCTATTATACTGGTTGTACATAGTCTGCAGCCTGTGCAGTAGGAGACAAATATTTTCTCTACCATAAGTGTTTCTACAAGTCATGAACATGAACAATTTAGATAGTAAACACAATGTATAACCTTCTACAGCATCAGCATCTGTTGTCATTAATGAAATATATAATGACCTTCTTTGACCCCAGTAAGGGTCTCACAACCTAGATTTGGATTGTAATATGATGCTGGGAATCTGGAGTAGTTTAACTCACACAGTATAGCAACTTTTTGAGGTTACAAATTTAATTCTGACCTCTGTAGAATCATTCACTCACAAAAATAAAAATTCTCCCTTAATGTGTTCTCCGAGACATTCAAATGCTTACATTATAACCTATCACAAAGAACTCGTTATATAAAACACAAACTGTCACATTTATACATACAACTACCTGCATTCAAACAAGCTTCTCATATAGAACTCTAAGATACATACACCCATTACTTCATATAATGCATATTCAGGCACACAAGAAAAGAAAGACAAAAAAGAAAAAACTAATTTCTTTGCAATACATCTTTCCCAATTCCAAACAGGACAGTAATGCCACATAAAGATGGGAACAGAATAATAAATGGTCTGCAATACAATAAAAAAAATTCCTTAATCACAGATCCACAAGCAATTGGCAGATATCAAATGTATTTTCAGCACTATAAGATGCATTAAGATGTTGTCTTCACATTAACTCTGAAGTATAAGTCAAAAGAATGAGTTTATGACTCTAGCAAAGGAAATATGAAAAGCCAGTTTACAGAAGTAGATGGCCTAGGATTGAGTACAACCGTGACTTAACGGGTGCCAGTGTGTTACATACATGCCGTAACATCCTGTGGATTGAAAACGTGTTACAGTAAAATTTGTAAATTCCTTTTTGCATGAGTATGCAAGAATTTATATTACAGCAATTCAAACATGATTTGTACAAAACCATGCATAAATCAAATTTGACAAAAATTATAATAAAATTCTTTGCATATAAAACTAAATGGGGTTGCCAGACTTTTAGGAGTTACAGTAAAAATTCCCTCAACATTCCTTGGATAAGCAATGACACATTTCTAGAAACTTAGTGAACTGTTTATATGACATGAATAAAATATTTCCTTTCAATTCCAAGTGGTAATATGAAAAATAAAACCATGACCGCTAGACTATAGGAACGTGGAATGAGGTTTTTATCAGAAATGATGTCAGAACTTATAGGGGTAGAAGATTGGGCAAGTTATTTGCAAAAAATCTGTTAACACTTAATTACATCTGATCTTGAAAGTTTATTGTTTTATGGAAAGGAAATTAAGCCAGTTACAGATATTTTACTATACGACCATTATGCAAAAACCAGGAATAACAGTCCAAACAATAGCTGCAAAAACTTTCATTTTCTAGTTTTGGTTAAATTCCAGAATTTCCCAGATTGTGATTACAAAATGAAGTAAAAACCAGATATTTCTCACATGGGCATCTTAATAGCCTGTTGACTTACAATCACACATCAGCAAGTTATCCTTTCATCTCAAAGTACTGAACAGTGTATTTTCAGAACAGTTTGGCTGACAATGGATGAAACTTTTTTCCTTAATACAAACAGAAAAGATGAAGAATAATATACCAATGTACATCCTGTTTATAAACTATGAAAAGTCATATAAAAGGGATAAATTATTCACAATTTAAAAAAACAGAAATTCAGAAGATGATTTGATAAATACCATAAAATTCTTTCATAAAGATAATTCTGCAACAATAAAATCAGGAAACATAATAACATAACTAACTAGATGGCTTACTGAACCAGAAGGTTTATCACCGAATTAACCAAAGCCCTCATCCGGACCATCCTGGGCCAACAAAATCCAATCTCCTTCAACTTCTATCTCCCATAGATCCAGCCTGACACTAAACTCCCATCTACGTCTAGGTCTCTCCAGTGGTCTATTCCCCTCAGGCTTCCCAACCAATAACCGGTGCACACCTCTTGTCCCATCCACGCGTGCTACATGCCCCGCCCATCTTTCTTCTCGTCTTAATCACCCTGACAATATTGGGGGAGGAGTACA